ACCCTCTGAGTGCGACCCCTCAGCCAATCTGCAATCCATCTGACTGTGTAGGCATCGATGCCACAGTCACCTAGTTTTTTAACTAGGATGGGGTGAGAGACGGTGTCAAAGGCCTTGCTGAAGTCCAGAAAGACTACATCCACCGTGACACCTGCATCCATGGCCTTTGTGACCTGATCGTAGAAGGCAATCAGGTTGGTCTGACATGATCTCCCCCTAATAAATCCATGCTGATTGCCCCTGAGCATCATTTCTGATGCTGGCCCATCACAAATGTGCTTCTTGATGATCTTCTCAAAGAGTTTCCCCTGGATTGAGCTTGATCACCATCAATAAGTTGCAAAATACAGTAATGGATTTCAATAGTACAGTAAAAAGGGCTGATTTAAGCCAAGCTATTCTGTCCCTTCTCACAAGCCCCCACATATAGAACAGCATGCAATGCTGCAAAAATTACAAGGTGCCGTACAGTCCAAAGACAGTTCAGATGGGCTGTCATATCACAGCAGCCCTCCAGGTTTGCATGAATGTATACCAGAGGGTTTATTTTGTCTTTCAGGAACCTGGAGTCCTAAGGATACCACAGGGTCAAAGTTGACTTCATTTTGTTCCCACCTCATAGGCTGAACCTTCAGGGAGTGCAGCACAGAATACAGTCTGTGAGCTCACATCAGGACTGTTGCTGCAATCTCTGCTTCAAAAAAGGAAGTGTTAGTGTTTTAAGGGAAACCCGTTTGTCTGGAAACCAGAATAGAAGGTTTTCCAATAGAAAATACATTTTTAACTTTTATTTTAAGTGTCCGTTCCTATTATTTTATATCATCAAGTTCCCCAGCTGAACTTCCATGATTCACTATGGCTTTTTGACTGACATAACATATCCATCACACGTCTTTACCCAGAGAACAGCTCCTGGTGCATCAGAGAGTCATTGTCCTGCTTGACTTCCTGGCCTATTAAATAAGAATGTAAGTCAGCTAAGCTACAATTCTCTCAAGACACTGCAGGTAAAATTAAAATATTTCAGCTTCAAGATAAATTATTTGGGCGCTTGAATCTTTATTCACTGAAAACTCAGTGGCTTCTGGGAGGTGGAAATAAAGGATTTTCGGAACAACTCTGATATTAGATTGTGTTTTGGAGATATCAGCTGCATTAGGCAAGTGCCCACAAAAATTGTTCTTAATACTCCATCACAGGGGTAATCCAGCACCCCTTGATTTTTTTCTGTTGATTTCAATGGGGAGCTGTATCTGGTGCATGTACTATATTGATCATGTTTTCAATCCCAGTGCCATCAGTGTAAGTATGAAGGATTAAAATGATTATTTATTCCAATGGACCTTTTGAATTGCCATAAAATTGCCTGCAATAGGTTGATGGGACCTGATATAAGACATCTTCACATATCCCTTCACAATGTAAAATGTATTTCTGCATGGCACCTCTTTTCAATTATGTCTGTATTTCATTTACCTTCTGTATCGGTTATTCCCACTCCTGGCTGCTTTACTGGGTCTTGTCCATTCTGGCTCATCTTCCCTCTGTTAAAAAACACAGATTGTTACTGACAAAAAGGTCATAAATAGGAAAATTTTCCCAAAGCAAAGAAGTCCCAAAGCAGAGAGGGCATTGTTTAACTCAAGTAAAATTTACAAAAACAATCAAACAACCAAACCCCCCAAGCCCCCCCCCCCCAAAAAAAACCCCAAACAAACAAACCAAAACAACAAAACTTGTTCTGCAAGATCTCTACTAGGAAGCAAATGTTTTCAATAAATGGGAAAAAAAGATTTACAGAAAATATGACTGTACATATAGAAAAATCTTGTTTGTATAAACAGACGGTCGTCTGGTATCAACTGAATTGGTCACTTACAAAGAAGCTAAGACGGTTGGATTTTTTTGGTAGAAGACTGTAACTACATCTATGGAAAGTGTATTTCTCTTATCAGACACTTCTTTTTCTTTAATCTGCTACAGTTAAGATGAAAGATGAAATACATAACACAGATGCAGATAATGATCTCATCTACACTGTGAGTATGTCTACACATGTGCATTTACTGTGCAGTAACCAAAATTGATGCACAGTATGGGCACATGTGCAAGCTCATACTGTGCAGAAATTTGGCAAATTATGCTGACTCGAGTGTAAATTTGATACTTCGATACCTAAATTGATGCTTCCTTAGTTACTGCACAGTAATGCATGTGTAGACATCTTACTGTGCAGTAACACTGTGTGTGTGGACTGACTTGGAACTATCTTGAGTCTCAAGTCAGTCCATGAACAGTGTTAATGAACTTTAACATTTGCACGTGTAGACGCTGGCCTATTCCTGCTTAGTGCTCAGTAATTTATTGTGCAGTAAATTTATGCCAGCGTAAATTCACATGTAGACACACTCTGTAATTGTTTCATATAATATTCTACTATATAACAGTTCATGACTGGGTGACCCCCCAGAAAACACCATGAGATAGAATATTTGGATTTCCCCACTCTCTCTGGCTAAGTAAGACAAGTTTTTGCCTAGTCATAGTACTCTTATAATAATTGGTATGACATTACATTTTATGCTAAGTTGGAGTGTTATATGTACTATGCATGAAAAACAACTCAAAGCATTGTAACACTGATCTTATCTAACATGTTTTAAACTTGACAGCTACCCTCTTTTTTTTATAGCTTTCTGATCCAGCACCCCCTGATTTTTCTGATCCAGCACCCCTTGATTTTTTTCTGTTGATTTCAATGTGTAGCTGTATCCGGTGCATGTACTATATTGATCATGTTTTCAAACTATGATTTAGAAAAAGAGGTATTTCCTTTATTTACCTGACCAAACAGATTTTGATCTGGGTAACAGAAATTTCATTTTAGTTTAAATTATTCCTTATTTTTTAATTTAACTTATTCCTTAAATATGACAATCTTAAAAAAAACACAATTTACAATTTTGAGTTGATCTTTCTCTCTGAAATATTGTGATATAGATGTAAGGTCTGGTCTTCAGAAAGTGTAATTGGCATTATTCCATTGGAGCCAAAGGAGCAATGCTATTCTGCACCACTATGCACCATCACCCTCACCCCCTTCTGGCCCCTTATTTCTGAGGAAGAAACTCCAAAAATAAGATTAAGAATACGATTACTTTTTAGCATCTAACAAGTTACAATTATTTGCCATCCCACTACATTGCAGTAAAATCAGACCACCTGTTCCAGTTTAACTCAATATTTACAGATATGTAATTATTGCATGGAAAATCTGATACTGCTGCTTTTGAGCCATTGAATCAACATGCTGACTACTGGAGCATAAGTACTTAAGAGCCATCAAATTGACTCAGGCACCATTTGAAAACTAGGGATAGAATCTTTGGCATGTCATGACTTGAGAGAGCATATAGGAATCAAATGATAGATTTGGTGATATTTATTGAGTTGCAATGAGCTCTTTATGAATTGCACCCCACAACTGCAAAGCAAGAGCTGTTTTGTGAATTGAGGAAAGGCATAGCATATCTGAAAAGTTTGTCGAATTACAGGAGCTGCTTTTGTAATATAGCCCCAGGCTGATAGCTCTGGTGCTGGCCCAAAGATAAGGAGTGATCTAAATGAATAGGATCAGATTATCAGGGGATGAAAATCAGAATTTCTGCACTCAGTGTCCAAGTTCTTCTTCAGCTGGGGCAGTCACGTTTCTGCGGGGTCTCAGACTGCTCAACATTTTGTAATGCCCTCTCACATTAAACAATAGATGCAGAGCTGTAACCGACGTGCTTCCTAGAAGCATTAAGGGACCAATCCAGTTTGGTCAGTAGGTACTTCTACTTAGGTGCACCAACACCTAACTTAGCTGTTTGCCCCAGGGGCTGATCCTAAGATCCCTGTACAAGAAAGTTAGGCATCTGAGAACAATCCAGAAAGCTTAGAGGCACCTAGATACAACCAACAGGAAATGTGAAGTGCAATGATGGGTCAGAGCTCTCCCTTCCTCCAGGGGCTTAGGTGCTTGGGTCAGCTTCCACAACAGGCATCTCCATTTACTTGCAATCCAGAATTCCTAACTCTACTTCTACCTGTAGACACCTCACTGATCAGCGGTGAAGATGCTTTGCATAAGAGCTAATGATTAAAGCACTTCCCGAGAATGTAAGAAATCTGGATGGGAGATGCTCCTCAGGCTAGAAAGATTCAAATCCACATCTGTAAATCCTTAGGACCAAAATTAGGTTGGTCCTAGACCACCAGGCTATAAAACAGCCTAGGCAGGAACACCCTCCACCCTTCCTATTGCAGCTTGGTCTCTAAGAAGCAACACTTCCTCTGCCTCCTCTTTTATACTTGCATCTCTCAGAAGAGGAAGGGGAGACCCGCATGCTACCACTGTTCTTCTCCCTCTCTGCCCAGTCCCCCTGGGTATTTTCTTCCCGACTGGAAGCTGGTGCAGAGAGACGGAACAAGCCTGTCACTGCTACTGTCCCTGGCTGAGCACAGATCCCTGCAAAGCTGCTCCCCACAGCCTCAGCTGGGCTGAGGCACGAGCAGGGACAACTTCAGCAATAGGCATATCTCCTTTTCTTGGAGACACAGGCATAAACAAAGTAGGTGAAGGGGGAAATGGGAAGGGAAGGGAGGTGGCACTAAGAACAGAGGGGAATGGAGTGGGTACTGAGAGTGGTGGGGGGAGAATCTTCCATGATTTGGGGACTTTAAAAAAGATCCTAGCTGCTTCTCCTGTAGCACAGTCTGTCTCCCTTTGATTCAGGGAGTGGGAAAAGGCTGGGAGTGGAGGGATGCAACCACTGCTGTAGCAATAGTCACTGCTTATACATCTCTCTTTTCCAGATCTTGGTTCCACCTAAGATAATCATATAGCAGAAAATTAAGACCTAGAAAGAGGGATCAAATTCTGTGTCTCCACCCTCCCAGCTGAATGCTTTTGAAAACTCCACCTTCAAACTCTTTCACAGTATGGGTCATATCTGAAGAAACTCACAGCCTCCCTGGCAGCTGCAGCAATTCCTGGTTTGGAAAGTCTTATGAAAATATTTGATTTATTCTTAGTTTTTTTAACAATGTTCATGATTTGCACCTCTGATTTAATTAGTCCATAAGGTGCAAATCTACCCTGCCATCTGCCAGCTTTTCAAAGATCACCAACCACAAAAGCTAAAAGCAAAAACAAACAAAGAAGAAAACAACAATTTAAAGAAGATAAACATAAAAGAAAAAAGGAATCATTTAATTATAGTACAAGAAGGTATATCTGGAAGTAGTGGATAAAACTGAAAAAAAAATAAAAGAAAGCTTAGTCTTGTTAAATAGGGGAAAACTTCCTGGTGAAATATATTAGATAATGGAGTAATCATTCAAAGTCAAGTGGCTGAAGACCAAAGCATTATACAGAATACTCCATCTTTGGCAAGAGAATGCGCTATGATTTCTTGAGAGGCTACGACTACAAATATTTAAGCAAAGCCAAACGCCTAAACCAAACTCTATATTTAAACTCTTGTAAATGTTAGGTAAGTTTGGATCCAAATCTGCACTTGAATATTGTTGTTACCACTTATTTTTAGAAAGGGATTAAACTAAAAACCTCAACTGAATATCTCTAAAGCTGGAAGAAATTCACTTTTCTCCTCAGAACTTTATGTTCCAAGCCCATATCTATAAATGTGTATGGAAAAATTAGGTTAGTCCTGCCCCTGTAGTGCACCAATTATGTGTGAAAAAAATCATGGGTAGAGTGTTAATACTTCAAATCTTGCAACAATAGCAAAAGAATGTAGAAGCTCTGATGAGAGACCTCTTGGATTAAATGCTGTTTTACTGTGCGACTTAAGTTGTAGCATGAAATTACATAACAGAAAAACTAAGACATCAAAGTTACATATGCAGGTATGTCTGCACATTGAAGAGAGAGTACATTAAAGAAAAAGCCTTACATTCTTGGAATGGGAAAAAGATTATTTTCTCCTGTTATGCTGCTGCTTCCTTCACTATCCACACTGTATCCACTGCCAAAGCTACTGGCTGACGAGCCAGTGGAGACAGAACTCTCTGCAGGTCGGTGATTGGTAGGCCTTGCTGTACAGAGCAGGAATAGTGGGTTATTAAATTGCATGAAAGACATAAACGCCAGCAATGTTAAGAACATGCTATTCACCAAGTAGCATGCTGCAAACACATTTACTCTTTACTTTTAATTCGAAAGTCACGCCATCACTCTTTAGACATGATGCTTATATTACATAGAACAAGCTTTTCTAAAAGAAATCCATTGTACATTATCCTTTTTCTTCCAATCTCCTAGTAGTTTAAAGCAAAGGTCAAAGGAAAAAAAGTAATAACATTCACTCATTTTGATGTCACAATTCTGTATTTTTAGTTAAAATAAAATTAGATTTTCATTGAAAAAAGTTGTAGGATGTAACCTACAAAAATGAGAATCCAAAGTGATTCTGAATATTCTATATGACACATTTATTTACTGCATTTGATGACTTTTGTAGAAAGGAAAGAGAACACAAAATATCATAAATATACCATCTACCCCCCAAAAGTGTTATTTGAAGACATTCTCTTCTTTAGACAGCACACCATTACTTCATTATATTTCTCAACTGCTTCTGCTTTTAAGTAGTCGTACTGCTTCTGCTGTTAAGTAGCCTTGAATTTTAAAGTACCACGTTTTATGATCGTGCAACCTGGGGATGACCTACTATTTTTAATGTGTATTTCATGTGGAAATTTTATGTGAACTCTAAAGACATTATTTTTACTTCAGATGTTTTCCTTTGTTTGCCTTATTTTGGTGTTCTGAGTTAATCACTTCTGCTCCATTTCACCTTTAGCAAGTTGAGAAATATACACAAATATCACATTGTGACATTACACATGATAACTAGTAAAAGGAACAATGGACTATAACTATTCACAACTTTAATAACACAATCGACCAGGAAAAATAAATACAGGTTTTCTTGGAAAGAGATCTATGTGTGACATCTTTCACTTTGATCAATTGAATGAATAGAATGCTGGGGATAAAAATATTTGTATCAAAAGTTCTCACTCAGTGGAGTCACAGTAAAGTTTTGCTGTTGTTTCAGTCAGCCTTAAAACTCAAAGCAAAGTTCAAAAGGATTGTATTTAACAAAGAAATTTGCCAAAAATGTAGAATTGAATAATTTCTTCTAAGGGCCAATGCACAAGTATTATCCCACTGACATTAACAGATAATGTCATTCATATTTGATTGGATAAATATTATTTTTGGTGTACGCTACTGCTGAGTGCTACACTGTGGGTATTGGGAAATTGAGTAAAACTCTCCAAATGTAATTTGGGACTGCATTAATAATAGATAGGGATAAAAGAAACCAGGCACCACAAGTCCCTTGATCTGATAGTTGTAATAGAATTGCTATTTCTGAAATGATTCGGTCTTTGTATAGCCAGCCACAACATACCCTTTTTTTTTGTTTTAACTGTATCATCACTGATGTCTTCAGTCACTATCTTACATTGAAAGCTACCAAGATTCCTTTAAGGTAAACGTGCTCTTACTGGTCGTTATACAGGTTGTACGCAAGTTACAATGGAGATATTGATAGAAATAAAAAAAAGCTGATGATAATAATTAGCAGAGAGCTTTTCAATGCTTTACAGCATTTTACATGCCTGAGAAACCCATTCTGCTTTTCCAAAGGAGACGCATATAGGCCTATAGCTTGCATAGTCAAAGAAGAGTCCATGAGGCTAGTGGAGTTATACCAGGTATGATGCTACTTTCAATTTGTTGTGCTCCTGACAAATCCCATGAGTATGGAGAAGGATTTGCAACTCAGTAAGGCACAGAGGGCACCCAAAAGACTCAGAGACCTGGAGGAGAATGTTAATGCTCTTAGGCCATACCTTCTCAATGCACCACGAGGACCCCTATGCTTGGTAGTCAGGATTCTGCGTGATTCACTCATACCTAGGTCACACCAACCTCATTGTTGAGCTCATTTGCAAGAGGAGCGCTAATTTAACTGGCAGTTTTCTTAGAGGGGTCCTATCAAATCATACAAACCAAAGAGGGGCCCTTGCAAAAACTGTCTCACCCCTTGAGCTATCACATCTGAAAGGCCATGCTGCCATAAAACATAACAGCACAGATAATATGACATTTGGGTAGGGGAAGTGGTGCTGCTTACTCCTTCATTATGGAGTTTCCTGATCATTTAGGTAAGTATTCTAGACCTTTCTGCTTGTCCATGACTAAAACGAAAAGGAGCATTGGGGTTCCTCATTTCTGAAACTTTTCTATAAAGACTAGTTCCTAGGACTCCGTCTCTCACCCCATCCTAGTTAAAAAACTAGGTGACATCTGACTGTATAGGCATCGATGCCTATACAGTCAGATGGATTGCAGATTGGC